TTCATCAGGCACACATGTACATGTTCATCAGGCACACATGTACATGTTCATCAGGCACACATGTACATGTTCATCAGGCACACATGTACATGTATAGTAAATGTTGAATAAGTGTATTAAAGAGAAACATTATACACAAAATCACCCACTTCTGGTTGTGTGGGAACTGAGAAACGTTTTAAAGGCATCAGTATTTATTCAGCCATTTCTTCCTTTCAATTACCCAAAAGAATTTAAGATTTCTTTGAAAGTTTTTTAAGTGATTTAAATCAGGATTTAAATCAACCAGCCATGAATTTGTTTTTGCAGCCTAAAAGTAAATTTTATCAAACAAAACGAGCATGCCCAGCCCAGCATCTAGTATTAATCTGCACATATTTGGAAATCACAATGGTAACATTAAAAATTTTGTAACCCCTCATGATTTTTACTGATCCTTGGAAAAGAGCTAAAGCATCATCATCACTGTTTATTAACAACGTATCAAAGGCAACAATCCATGGACAAATGACAATGGAAGAAACTGAATATAAGGTTATAAATATGGAATTGACAAATGAAATCCACCTTGCTCACCTCGGGAAGGTGGCATTCAAGGAAATCACCCAAGGTGGCAGGTGGGAAAAGGACGACATGTAAAAAATAATTGGAGGAGATGACAGTAGCACAGTATCATTGCACTCACGCCGCATGCATGTTAAAACTTGAAAGATGCAACTGTGAATTCATGCATTCAGCAAGTCACAACGACCCCGTCAGTCCAGTAGCCATTTAATGTGCAAATACATGCTAAGTGCATACATGTACCGCACATACAGTGTACTGTAGAACCTGTATGCAAGGATGTACATGTACCGTATACCACTACAAATTACAATAATGCCTCCTTATCCCAGTAGCTAGACAAGTCAGTACATGAACTAACTAAATACACATGTGCCTCATCTAAAATAGACAAACATTCATCACAGCTACAAACACAATGAGCTGTCACAAACAACTTTGAACAACAACTCTCCCTTTAACTTGACAAAAATATGTCCTGTTGTTCTTCCTTCTATACAGGATTTAACGGTAAATTTCCCCTTTCCTTTATTATGATAACACAATGTCCCAACTCACTTTCCTCTGGCACACCAGTTAAGAAAACACATTGGCATTAATAATGAGCACTTTTTACTTTCAATAAATGCCTTGGAGCAACTGAACTAAGTGAAGGGATAGTTGTTACGGTTGTAGTTGGGAAACTATTGTTACTTTCCTCAGAAACAGAGATACATGTACATGTACATGCATATACCCAGGATTACAAAGTGAATGCACCAGCGATCATCAAGGGCAGAAAAAAATGATGGAACAAAAGAAAACCAGGCTATCAAAATACCACCAGGGTACTTTCAATGGGAAAACCTCACCAGCTTTGAAGGTGTGTGGGAAAAAAGTCAAATACCTATCAGATTAGCTGGAATATAACAATCATTCCTAACTATCAAATCTGTACCAAATATTTACAATCAAACAAAACAGCTGCGACGATGTCTCAATTCCAAATCGGTATTACAATGGGGATGAAGAATTTGAGCCTTTTTCATTTCAAATTTGCTTACAAAAATTAAAAGAGAAGAAAAAGGTCCCCCAACAAATATTCAAAGAAAAGTTCCTGAATGCAAATGGCTACATGTACATGAAAGGTGTAGCCAAGGATTTCATAAAATGAGGAACTGTACATTATTTGTCAAGTTCTATGGCTAGTTTGCTACTTCTCCTCAAAACTGCTAATTTCTTTTTGCTTTCCAATTATGAAAATTGAATTTACTTCTTGTACACAAATGTTCAGCAATTTCGGAGCCTTAAGAAGAAAAGCACAGCTGAGGTTAATGACATTTGCTGGAGATGCAATCTAACCTACCCAAGGTCATCTCTCCATGTACATAAGCACACTTGGCAAACACCAGTACAGTACTGACTATGGACTTTATCCATTTTAGCTGATTCACAGAGCTGTGGCATTGTCTTCAAGATTTGAAAATATGTACAAATTTTCTCCCAAAATAAGTCACTTCCTTTTCCTTTCATGATTTCAACAAAATTACATACATACATGTCTGTACTAGTACATGTGCATGTATGTTCCCAGAGCTGAATCAAACCAAAGAGATCCCACGCATTAAATCCGTAGGAATTAATATTTAATAAGATCAAGTGTGTTATCTTGCCTTGCATACCACTCATACTTCACCTAGGGAACCCCACTACATATTACAGGTACATGTAAGCCCATTCAGTCACTGCCAACCATATCAATTACTTTATACACTGTACATTCACTACCAAAGATATCTTCTCCAGGTAAATGGACAAGCTGGTGCCAAGCAGAGAGCATATAGTCTTCATTACTACACAGAACTCTGAATACGCAGCTGTGATGAGCTGACATGGAGACACAAGTGGCTGGACTGTTCAGGTTAAGAAATTTTTATTGAGGTGGACTCTCAATAAAATCTAGGCTGATTTACTGAATGCTGAAAGGAGAATGATGGCTTTTACTTCACCATTTGAAAGACATATTCTTCCATGAATTACAAATTCCTCAGAAAAACATAAAATTCAGAGCATTTGCATAGTACATGAGAAAGTAAACGGTACAAGCATTAGAGGGCCAAGTCTTCTATTTTCCTTCAAGAGTAGTCATCAGGCGGTAGAGTAACATCTTTTTTCTGCCTTTGCACTAGAAAATAAATTTAAAGAAATTGTAACAAACTGCATCTCATTCATACAATGTACATGTATGTTAGCACTAAAGTTAATCAAACACAAGCAGTACGCCTACATGTATCCTGAATGTCCTTTTTGTTAATGCTCTTACATGTACACAGAAAACATGGAAAACAAAGCTAAACATCACTCTATTGTAGTTTTGTGTTACTTTCTGATTAACAGCTCATATCACTCTTCAAGACTGTAGGGTAGGTACTGGTCAGACAACAGGCCAATACAGCCGTTTCACAATAGTGCGCCACCATGAGTTTGCAATGTGTTGGCCAATCACAGTGCGCAAAATTTGTTATTTTCATGTAGTGTCTGCAAACACACGTCCTCAGGCTAGTATATGTATGTAGCCTAAGCCCTTTGTGAAAACACATACATGTATGAAATACTGATTAACAGATTAATTAATGGAAAAAAGAGTCCATAAGGCCTACTTTCCAAAAATGTCTTAGTGATGACAAGTTCATATTTAATTTTAAGTTAAAAAAAAATTATGGACAGGGTTCCATGCATACATGTACCGACAACACTCGATACCCCAGCACACAAACATATGAGACATATCTGACAATAAAAAATATGTCAAATCTTTGGAATTTTTTTGGCTAAATTTTACGTTATCCCTTTTGGGAAGTCCATATACATGTACGGACGCCAGAAATTATTCCCTAGAGTGACCTAGAGGGAAAAACCAAGTCGTCACATCAAGTCAATTTAGAAAACACTTTCAGACTACTCTCATAGGGTTTGTGCACATGGTGTCAAGTGGCATCCCTATATGGAACTCTTTCCTCATTATCTGACAGCTGTTACTTAAATGTTGTAGACCTACAACATTTTATGGGAAAATTAGTTTTGTCCGTTTACGGAACTCTTTCCAAAATTTTGTTGGTCTGAGTGTCAGTCTGTAGCATAACATACCTCCTGGTCAGATCATAGGATCAGATTCACAAATTAACATTAGTCCATAAATGTAGAAAATTTAAGACAATTTAAGTTATGATAACTAGGCTAATCAACTGAAACTAATGTTATCATGGATGTGCAAGATTGCCAGTTCAAAACTTACCACCCTTTTCTTTGACTCTCGTCTTTGCCGGTGAAGACATGTTGATCTCACAATTTGGGAGTCGTCTGCAGACGCTATCTGAAGCACACCCTTTATCCACTTACATGGTGTCTTTTCAATCAAAGCGACCAGTAAATGAAGATAATTTGGTGATGAAATTCTAGCAATGATAACTAATGTTAGATGAGACTAACTGCGACTGTGTGGAACCTGAAGGACAACTTTCGACTACATAAGCCAGATCTTTCGACTACGAACATCTGTAATTAATCTCCCTTTATCATCATACGCAGTTCACAACAGATATCCAAGTACCAAACACTCAACATATACAGTGCATGTTTTCACAACTTTCGTTGAGTTTCAGAGTTTCTCTGATTTAGTTTCGGTTTTATTCCGTAGACGATGCACAACCATGCGATCCGAAAGGCTTAAGCGAAACATACTTCCTGATTGGGATCTCGATCGAATCCCGTACTGTTGGTACCCGGCGTAGGTAGTACGATTTCAAGACAATTGCCTAAGTTACCGGGGAAAACTGTGCCTGGTGGTTATTTGGCCAAAGGGGGCGCTATGTAAATTTGACGAAGCAATAAATCGGTAGCCAAAACCGTGCTCTAAGGGGGGTGTTGGTTGGGGACGGAGGAGGTGAATTATTTTTGCCCTCGGAAAAAATAACGAAGAGTGCAGTATTATAGATTATCTCAAGCGACTCGTAGCAACCCTTCTTTTTTTCAACGAATGTAATAACAGGTTGAATGAAAAGTTTTGCCACATGTATATTACAATGATTAGAAATTTCATTTAGACGAAATATTGCATGCAGAAACTCGGCATTAGCTATAAAAAGCAATACCTTTACAGACTGAAATTCCACAATTACTCCCTCCGATAGAATTTTGTCTTCAGTCGCAGAGTTTTTTAATTCCCGTTTTAATTCTTTTCCAAATTTTCCATCAACTCATTTTTCTCAGACGTTTAGTAAGATGAACCTGATTCCAATAACACACACAATTTTGGTTTTACCCAACCACTGAAATTTTGGACACACATAACATTTTTGTTCAAAGGGGTCCTGTCATTCCTTTGAAGCTCCTCTCTCCAACAGATAGCAGTTTTCATTGACATAACTTTTGAGGAAAATAAATTCTGTACTTCAAGATTATAAATGTATCCTATACAGTGTATCAATTTTATTCTTCACTTGAAATCATATACATGTATTACTGAGCATAACAATTTCCTTGAATTCAAAGGCCAACAATTTTAACCTTGCAAAAACAAGTGTAAAAGAAGCAAACATTTACAAAAATGAATGTTCCTCTCCTTAAACAAGGCTGACAAATTTGTCTCTCTCATTATGCCTCTGTGAAGGAATCTCCAATGCACTTAACAGATGCCATGAAAGTGTCTTGATAATAAGCTTATATAAACATAATCCATATTGTTAAAAGAAATAGTTCTTGAACTAATAAATGCAGTAAAATATGACCAAACAAAGCAAACAAAAGGTACTGAAACTCTACAAGTCTAAGAACCAAACTGAAATTTGGTTGTCAGATAAACACCGATATTTGATATATCTATCACTATCTACAACTGGGTGACCAATCTGGCTCAACACCAAGGTAAACTAAATTAAAAATATTGCAATAATCTTAAAAATTTCATCAGCTTTGGCACTGAAAAAAATCAAATCAAGCACATTTCATCCTTTCATTTCATAATACAATATGAATTTCTTGAAGGAAGTGTTACAATGGAATGTTCCAACTTCTGTCCAATGAGTACTCTAAGACTTAAAACATAAAAGATTTAACCGTAATTACAACTACAAATTGACTTACTATCGACATGTAGCCAATCTGCTCTCAACTCTATGTACTAGAATGCCATAAAAACCTCGCCAATAAATGATACATCATGATTAATATTTCTAATCAAGAAACTATTAGCCATTTCAATATAAACAGTTGTGCTGACAGCAAAATTCAATTTTCATTTTCCATAATTGTAGAAATACAGGTGAAAGGGAGATAGACTTGCAGCAGACATGAATGCACTGCAGAATATTTCTGGCTTATATAGTTTACATTAGCATGTTTTTTACAGTTATACAAGTGTGCTGAGACCCCCAGTGCATTTCTGTAGCATTACCCATCAAACTGAAACATACAAAGAATAATCACCAAGACTCCTTAGAACCATATTTACTCCTGTAGGACTCAAAGGCACAACCTCCAACCTACTGCCACATTTTTATTATCAAGCAGCCTACGTCTGAAGGTTGCAAGTTGCCCGAAGGAACCTTATTTATATGTTTCGATAGGGAGAAACAAAAGCAATTCAATGACTCCAACAATGGGGACAAATGCAATACCTCCTGAAAAATTGCGAGAGAATGCACAAGTATTTGAAAACCTATTCAGTTTTGCCAGCAATTGCATTGGAATTGCGTTTACTACAATGACATACAAGCATTTATGAATTTCTTCAGCAGTGATGAGAAAAGGAGCTTACAAAAACCACAAACTTGAAAATAAAATGAAAGTACATGTATATCTTTCGTATCATCTGTACAAACAAAAACTTTGAAGTATTTTCCATGTCTCACAATGAAAATAAAAACAAATAACATACCAACAAAAGTTCTAATAATGAATGCAAATTTGGCAAAATTACAAACTATAAACAATGATTTGGCAGTGCAATTCTGTCTTTTTTGAGACTGAATCTTCAAGTAATATACACACATCCAAGTTTACATCTGTACGTAAAATTCAATGCTGACAGATAAATCTAATAAAAATAAGCATAATTAAAAAATAAATAATTGAATTATTGTGACTGGTTTGTTTGAATGATTTATCACTCACGATGCACCTGTACAACATTGGACGATAATTCGGGGCTCATAATAGAAACAGAAACTATGGCAATACTCGGTTCTGTCCTTGATGCAGTTGCTGTAACGTCTGATTCTGGTGGTGATGTTGTAGTTGTTGCTATGGTTTCCTGTTTGTTCACCATCTTGCCGATGATGCGTAAAGACGCAATACTTGCTCTGTTGTAAGCAGTGCATAGACTAATTCCAAGATATCTGTTTGAAAAAATTAAAATCAATCAGTTTTGTTAAGTCTAAAAGTTTTTTCAATACATAAAAAGAAATGTACTAGAAACGCAAATGCCACTTCTCAGCCAAACTCACTTCATTTTTGGGGAAACTAATTTAAAAGCGATAAAAGCGGCCAAAAGTAAACTTTTCAACTGGGCAAACCTTCTTATGAAGAAATTTGTTCTGAACATTTTATGGTTCGCATGTCATTTACCAAAGTAGTTTTCTACATCTTAAATGATACCAGTCATCCACGAATGCCAGAAAAATGACCATCATATTCACCTTAAGACCTAGAGTTAGTGAATTAACAGCTTAACCAAGACCATCCAAGGAAGACGAAAAAGTATTGCAATGTCTTGAACTTACTTCAGACACACAATTTCCAGGAGGATACATGCTCCAATGGAAACTACACTGACAACATCTGAAGGATATTTCTCCATGATATAGTAGACGGCTACAGGTCCACCTGCCATGATTCCTACAGCTAGAGCTGTGAAGAAGCCTTGCTTCAGCTGGAAACCTTTCCAGATGCAAGCTGATCCTGTCTTCAATTGGTACTACAGTGAGAATATTCAAAACGAAAAGAAAGTAATGATGAGGGAAATTAGTGGGAATATACAGTGCAAGCTACAACACCTTACGGCACTTAATGCTTAGAACCTCCTGCTTTTACTAGACACTGTGCAATATCCCCGTTGAGTACATGTCTGCGTCACTGGAACTACAGTAGGAATATTCACAAGAAGATACAATGGAAATATTGATAAGAGGGAAAGATTGGGTCAGTTGCAATGACAACATGCAGCTGAAGAACTTCCTTAAACTACAAACCTTCAAGTTTGCATTGCAAACAAAGTAAGATTTATTTGATCTGTAACTGTTCTGATGCCTAATTTGTTGTCTAATGGTACTGGCTTTTTCTTCCTTTTAAAAAATGACGGATAACCTAACCATATTTAGTAAGAACAAAATCCCTATTTTTTAAACCTATTCCTTCATATATCCATTTCATCAAACAGAGGGATGACACTTCAAATTTTTTCCAATGGTTCCTTGCAATGTTAAAGGAACAATTACCGAATACCAACTGCAAGGGGTTTCCCTCCTTACCTCTGCTTGACAAACTTTGCAATGAAGGGCCTCGGGATTATCTGCTGACTAAAGAGAGATAGAGAGATACACGACGTTAGGAGAGTACAACCTATTAGTGGAATGTGAAGAAACAAACACCAAGTAATCAAGTTTTTTAAGCTGTCTTAGAGAGAGCAGTCCCATTAACAGCCCTAATCCTATTAAAGCCACACAAGTTGATACTATAGACGTGAAAATTATATGATTCAAACTTTAGCAAAACAAAAATTGTTTCACCCTCATTTATAGAAATTTAAACTTACAGTGATCTTTAAAGACAAATTTGAGATTTTCCCCCTTAATTCCTACCTCTATCAACCATCTTTTCAAGCATTCATGATGCACACATGCCACATCTCCTTTACATTCACAGGGTTGGATCATTGGTCCAGCATCGGTCCGCTGCAGATCGTAGCATATCCAGCACTCCAACTCTGTGAAAGACAAACAACATTCCGAATTCCCCCTAACTTTTTTGGTGTCTGTACTGATGGCCACCTTGAAACTAGCAGGGAGTAGAAACCCAAAGGTACACTGCTCAAAAGTACAGCAATAGAAGCTAGATCTAACCTTCCAAATTTTGGAGGATGGGGGATGGAAGAAATAAAGACAGATTTGGATCTTCCCCCCAAACTCTTGGTGGATTTTCATTTATGATTTGCTTGAAATCAATGTTGTCTTCGGTTTACACTAACTAGAGCTTTCAGGATGCTTGTAAGAGTGATGATTACAAAGATGACTCCAACCTGTTACCTTCTTGTTATCCTATTAAAGACTTACCTTTCTCTACTCTGGAGCTATCAGTTGTAGAATCATATGTAGGAGCTCGTTTACGGCAAAGTAACCAATCATCTTCTTTCTTACTGCCCTGGAATAAATGCAAACACAAACTATGACAATATCATTTTCCTCAATCAGTAGATTCGTATTTTTATCTAACATTGCAGAATTTGGTGTGGTATTAAAAGATGATTGATTGGATGGGGGGTTCCTTGCAGTGGTACTTAAAGCAGATTCTTAGAGTTATATGCTACCTGTGACTTTTCTTCATCTCTTGTCTGTCTGAATAGTCTGGTTGGGTTCAGCATCCACAGCGACTCTGGACTTCTACTCTTCCATAAGACACAAGGAAACCACAGAGCCAAACCAACCTCAACGATACGAAACAAGACATCATGGACATTCCTCTTCAGAACAGGGAGGCTGTAATCAAACAAAGTTACTATTAATTCTTAACATCAAAGAAACAACAAACCTTTAGAAGTTAAACTCGAAATTGTAACAATTAATAAAATAAAATTAATGTTGAAAATTTTCAAAGGTATATAACAAATTTTTAAAAATTCTGGTCAATTTAAAATGTGTATTTCAAACTAGTTTTTTGGGGGGTGCCTCAGGTGTTCAGGTACCATCATGGCTAGATTCGGGGTAATTACCTCTCTCGCCACTGTGGCTCAGTCACGCTCAACATCAAGAACAAGACCATCAATATCTGTAGTAATCCTTGGAATAACAGCCCAATGCGAGACTGGTGCATAATGCTAACATCCACTGACTTTATGTTAGCTCCAATGACAGAGAGGTCATGTGATTGGTCAGGTGACTGACCCATGCTATTGACATTTAGTTGACCAATGTCTGCAGCAGGCAGTTGATTTGTAGAATGGTAATTTACTGTAAAGGCTCCTTTAATCTAAAATCAAAAAACAAAATTGTAAAATGAAAGAAGTTAATGTTTTTATTAAATGGAGCATACACATGAAGGATGACGATGCTAGTCATTAAATGTGAATATTAGATGGGTCTTTGAAAATTCAAACACTACTCCAAAAAAATCTGAGAAGATGAAGTCTTGACAGTTTTGCTCACCTTGAAGAAGACCTCAACTCCATAAACAAGGAAGAAAATGACCTCAATTGTCATGAGTCCCGCAAAGCATCCATTGAAAATGTTGCTAAGCAACTGATGATCAAAGGACAAAGTCTCCATGGTGATGAACTGAGCTACTAGTAGGATGTACAGGAGAACATTGAAGAGAATGAAGTAGCAAAAACTGTCTCGTAAGAATCCTGGATTGCTGTGTTGCTTGTCAGACAAATGAAATGCCTAGAAGCAGAGAAACAGACAAATATTACGCTATAACCACTGCTTAATTTCATGTCAGTTTGTGAACCCTTAGCAGTGGTCTAATTGGTAAATGAACTTTATAACAAAGTTTCATGTCAAATAAACTACTTTTAAAAGGTAATACTGTATTCATGATGGTTTTTACATATTTTTTTAAGTGTGAAAATACTTAACAGTAAAAGGATGTCTTCTTGCAAATTTGAATGAAAGAACAAAACCATCTATCATGTAAGTAAACTTCCAACATTTTCTACAGAGTTTTAGATGTCAATATTTTGAGTCATCTTTAAATTAATATCTGTATGTGCAATCAAACAATCAATATGACAAGTCCAACTAACCTTGTCTGCCTTACGGAAATTAACTAAATAATGTTAAAACTACAGATTTGACAGCTGCATCTTCCTTTTCAGTTCAATAAATAGCGCCCTCCAGAGGTTTAGCAGCAGTCAAGACTTACCTCTGCCCAGAAGCAGACAACCAATGAGAAACAAGATAGCAGCAACGGATAGTACATACTCAGCATGTTACTGGCCCATGTCTCTGGTAGATAGCGCTGCAATCAAAACAAGATTGTGCAATTAATTTTTCATGTCATAGGTTGAGACAGCAAAGCCTCACAAAATGCAAAAGTCTCACTCAAAATGTAAAACTATGAACAAGATAAAAGCTTCTTTTGAGAAAAGAAATAATTTCACTAGAGTCAAATCTTCATATTTAAATTGGCCCAAGTTTTCAAGTCACTCTATCAAAGTACATGTAAATTGACACAGAAATATAACCTATGCAATATTCGATTGAAGAAATGTAACTCACGTCAGTTGTCAAGGCTACACGTACATACTGGAATACTACTCATCAACATTTACTACATACACTGTAGTCAGTAAAGCTTGTGATAAGCACTTGGACAGCTTAGTATACGGGTTATTTCATGAGGTTGGGGCACAATTTGTGACAGTGTCAGTTGTTACACGGGTTCCGTAAAAATGAGCAGCTATTTCCCTCCATGTGGATTCCAAACTTACCTTGTTATACATCTTGCAAGGCTGAATACAGAGGTGTGTGTTAGTTTTACAGAATAAATGACCTACTCTACAGGTCATGACAGGTGGTAAAAGTTGCGGATGTACATGTAACAAGTGACATCGTCACAAATTTGCCCCAACCTTATGGAATGACCCACAAAGAGCTTATGAAAACAATGAGTTTAAGAACAAAAATTGTTTTCAGAACAAAACCTGACACAAAACTGACATCACCTTGGTCTCATTCCTAAATTCAAAGTACAATTTTTTTAACACCAGTGTCAATTTTGGCAGATCATCACACTGCAAGAGACTGATTTACAATCAATTTTATTTACAAGTTGTAAAATTGATGCAGGTAGCCTTGAATGGATGATATCCACTCAGCTTTAGTTGTAGAATGAGTGGGTTGGGCTTAGCAAACAAACTTGGTTGAATTCACAGATATAATAAAGTGCCAACAGTATTCAAGCAACAGCTCAATTACAAAAATATTGGAGAAAAATTTGAAACTTTGTGTTGCATAAACTTGCCTTCCTACCTGTAATGAAAAGTAAAGAGCTCGACTTAAAGCGGCGATGATAACAAGAAAATACAACAGCTTCTGAGTGGTGACTTTAAGAGCCTTCTGAAAGGACGGATTCTTGAGGCGAGAAAAGTCGGACTGAATGCACAAAATCTGGAAAGAAAATGATTCAATGGTTTGAAATACACTCACTAGCATCCTACAGAAGTTAATAATATCAAGAAGCAGCTTCCTGTCATAGCAGTATAGCTCACGTTGTCAACAATACTATGTTTAAAAAAACACAAGTGACCAATCAATCCAAAGCCAGGTTAAAGTAGGTAATTATGATATTGTATGTTTCTTCTCATCTACGGTTTTATTCCTTCAAAGTAATTTCAAGTCTAAATTCTGTCTGCAGAATGCTTTTGTAATTACAGACAATGACAGTTATTGAACTTCTAAAACATGAACAGCAGAAATTATGCTTCAGGGATAATGATCAAGTTACGTACTTCAGCTTGGCTTTGGTATGGTGGATCACACGTGCTTACTGATATGGGAGTAACCATACTTACTTATGCAATTATGGTATCTACATGCAAGTTTGTTTTCACTTTATAAAACAGCAGCAGGAAGCCTCAATAGCCCAGCACAAAAATTTTTTTTACACTACTCTGACATTTTAGTCCGTATAAAATTACTCAAACTACTACAAAATGCAGATCAAGGGTTCTAAATTCAACACTTGAAAATTAACTAAAAACAGAAAAAAAAAATGTGAGTGCTCTCATTTATTTCTTTGTTTATAATTTTAGAAATTCTAAATTCTAAAAAACTATATTATATAATGCATTTCAGAGTAATATATTTACATTTTTTCATCAATAAATTAATTCAAGTAGTTCACATGAATCAATTTAAACTTCATCATTTCTGATATCAGGAAGTTCTTAAAATTAAAAATGCAATGGACTGTGAAGACTCTTTAAATCTGCTGACAGCCTACATAGAAAATCTCAATTATCTAAAACAACTGCTTTTTGGTTATATCCATTGCGATTTACTGCAGCAATCAATTATTGAAATCCTACAGAATGACCATACTAAAATGAACAGGGTTCATGGTCACCCCTTTCATTTTGCATTAACCTACTGGATCCTGCAAAATAAACATTGTCTGCACCCTGTTACAAATGTACTTTTCTAGGTTGGGTTGGGTAACCGGAAACACAGCTATTTTTTTGTTTGGCCTAATTGAGAATATCTCTGCAATGCAACATGAATTTCAAATGAAATTAAAAGTACAAGTAGACTACTTTATAAAGTCTTTAATACCACATACATGTATCGATGCTTCCTGAGAATTTCTTTGGGAGAAAAGGAATATTTCATTTGGGATTACACTATATTTTTAGCGAGGTTCTTGTTTTCCCCAAAATACATGTACTTCTTTAAAGCATTTAAGAATTAAATAAAATAGAAGAAGTTAGTTCTTTTACCAGTTGAATGGTGCAACAAGTAGAGAGGAGATAGAAGATTATTCCAAAAGCAACAAAGTAAGCATTGTTGATATCTTCACATTCAATTCCTTGGAACTCCAGCTGAAGGAAAATATAACAAAGAAAATGATTCCAAGTTACATATCAACTATAAGATTCAACATTATGAGTAGTGACCTGGTAGTGAAATGATACTGTTACCCCTGATCAGTGAGCTTATAGTCATGGATCCTTGTCAACTTGCAGTATAGAAAGACTCTACTACATGTACATGTACTTTACGACGGGTTCAGTCTCAGTTTTTAAGCCCAATCGCCATGAATAGTAATTCTGCAATAACTGGGGAATGGTTATACATGCTGCCTCAGAATATCTGGTACCAGTAGCTTGGTGAGAGATTGCTGAGAAAGGGAAGTTTCCTGACATGTTCAAAATTGTTGGGGTGATTTAGGAACAAATGACATGTACAATTCGCGTCTTTTTCTTATCATATCTGTACCTAATTCTGGACATTCTTTCCTCATTCTTACATGTTTTGTAGAGGAATTCTCAGCAAGGGTGGAAATTTGCGTTTAATTTGAAAGACATTTAGAAAACTCTCCTATACCATTAAACATCCCACCCTTAACACGGTGTCATTGAAAACACAACAAATTGTATACAAAACGTTCCGGTGATGAATTCCTGGTATTCCTTTGATATGACCAAGCAGGAAAGTGTTCTAAAAATCCGATTACATTGTACAGGAATCATTTACATTCAAAATAAACCCCACATAGCGTCAACCAAAAGTCTTATAGGGGAGGTTCCGTTTCAATGTTTGGGGAAAATCTGTAAACGGATTTGGAAATTTTTTCCTTTAAACATTCAAATGTGTAAACATCCTACCCTGAACTCTTGGAGTTTAAATGTCCAGAATCATACCAAATCATTCAAAAATGACAAAAACTGTAAGAAGACTATAAAAATAACTTACAAATTTGAAATGCATGTTTCTGGGTCATTTAGATGATTGTGGCCCTTACTTGTACATTTCTCTTGACAAATCAATACAATTTGGTATTATTCTGCACTATCGCAACCATTCAGCCTGATTCAACTTGCAATTCATGCTTACTTGTACAAGTAGTTCCGGATTATTCTTGTTTCATTACGAAGTTATTCCCGCAAATCAAATCAGGGCTAATTTCTCCCAATGCCATCAAGATTTTTTAGTCAGAATACATGTAGATCAAGGTATTCATGGCAGTCATTCAGCAATGTGTAAACCAACCTTTACAATAAGCTTTTTGCGTATTAAATTTGAATAAAATCTGGTAGACCAAGTTCTTTCAATTCATGTGAACATAATTGGAATTCTCCAGACTAAAAACACTGTTGCTGTACCTCATGATTTTGGGCAAGCTTTTGCTTAAGAGACCTCTTGCACAATACTGTACACTGTTATCAATGGATAAGAAGGGCACTAAGAAACCAGTCCATTCCAGAGATGGTGGTCTCTATGCAAAAGTTTGCCCAAATCAGAAGGTACATGTACACAAGTAGCAAGAATGTCTTTTGTCTGGGAAATTCAAATTGTTATGTTTATGTGCAATCAGATAGCTCAATGTGCATGTACCAGATTGTATTCAAATTTAACTCGCAAATGGCGCATAAACGGCCTATGTTGTACGTGTACGAGCCGAATTCCCTTTCAATGCCCCCTTGAGAACTGTACACACCCTGGGTAGTCCCTCAGATATTTCACCCTAATTTATACATCACTGTACCTCACAAATGCAAACTCCATCATGACAATCTCCATGGCCAGAGCAATTAGCTGGACAGTTCTCTTGATTTGATGCCTCCATCATCTTCCGTAAATAGACAGTAGCTTCTCTCCACATCTTCTGAATCAAGCAACTGCGCAGAAAATGACTTGTACATGTAACTAATTCTGATCAAACATCAGGTTTGCCTTCAAAATCTTACTTCTGAAAACTCTGTAAACTGCATTTCAACCCCTGAAAAAGTAAAAAATATCAAATTGCAAAATTTACTTAATTTGAAAAGTTCTGATCTACAGGTACCATACATGTGCATGCACATATCCAAGGATTTCACCACTTGAAGTAATATGCAAGCACAGAAAGTTTTTTACATACACCTGAAAACATGGTTTAGTCGAGGTTGAATATCTAAAACAGATAGAAATAAGTTCACTATTCAAAGAGGATCACTGCATTGATAGCAAGGACTAAAGAAAAACTGTACACGTGCTTTGGGTGTGTGTTAACAAGTGTGTAAAGTTCACCTACATGTACCCTGAATACAGTACAACAATTATTTCATCATTTCCTGGTGTAACCACTTACACATGGCCTACGTGATGAAGGTGATCATTAAACATTGTAGTTTGTAAATAAGTGAGGATTACAGTGCCTATACCAATGAATGATACAGTCCAATTCACCAGAACAGAATTGAAAACCCCATCAGTAATTGGAAACAAGGAATTAAAAAAAAACACTTCACAAAACACAAAGGAAGGTAAAATGAAACAACTAACTACATGTATAATGAACAGGAACAACAGGTGTTAGTCATACAGGTGTTGGTCTTAAGGCCATCATTCTAAATGAAATACGAAAGGAAACTTGTAACTATAAACAGGAATTTCTTTGTCATACATGTAAGACTAGCTTGCCACATTCTGAATGACAGTGTTTACTTCAGGAACTTTTTCTTTTTACTGATTCTGTACTCTCATCAAAATTCGAAGAAATTGTCAAGTTCTACAGTTGTATTTGTTTCTGCAGGTTGCAACAAAGCAGTAAATCAAACATCTCGTCACTATTATTTTACTACTGACACGGCAGAAGAAATTGAACAAAAGTTTCCATAAAAGAAACAACTACATGTACCTGTCACAGTCACTTGCGGTAACTACCATAAATCAATAGCTTGTCCAGATTTACTTTCTGGGAAGCTTTTTCAAAGCTGTATCCAAATACTGCTCCCAAATCAAGGCACTATGTACATCTTAAGTACAATTAAACTAAAGTATAGACATCAACAAAATTAAGCAATAAAATGAGAAAACAGGCACAGGGTATGCAAAATGAATATGGAGGCACAGACTTTTTATGTGCCTCATGATTTTGGACAAGTTGTATTTTTCACACAGAGGCTCCAAACAAAACATTTAGCAAGCAAACATTTACTTCAATACATGTACTTACATTATAAGCTGACTGAATAAAAACTTCCTCAGTGATTTCCAAACCACATATACCTCAGGCCACTTGCACAATGAGCACTTGCCCATAAACTCCAACAAATGTAATGAGACTTCAACACAGAAAGAAGTGACCAATCATATCACTGAATAACACATCTGATCTGTAAGGTTATGAATATTTATGAAATTCAAAGGGAGAACTTGTGAGCATCTGCCTGAAGCTTTTAGAAGGGGTGTCTGAATTCTAGGGGGTGTCTGAATTCTAAAATTCAGAAAGTTAGTACCCTAAAAACAGTAATGTGTAGTTCCATAACAGTAAATACCAGTACAAGTTATTTTTAACAAGGGGGGCTAAAATTCTTCTTTTTTGTTATTTAACCTAGAAAATTAACATACATGTACCTGCCAAAAATGCAGCATCCCCAAGAAAAAATTATTTGCAGACTTAGCACGATACCACTCACTATGAATATTCATGACAAAGCATGGATCAAGGGGTGGATGATGGACAAGTGATATAAGGCGTGGTATTTACACCCGAGCTACAACAAACTTATACATGTATACAGTGCTCTAACTGTGGTCAAAGGACATACATGTATCTAGGCCAAAAAACTGACACTAACTTGGGTGAAGTCCAAACAATTTATTCCAAAGAACTTTCAAGCAAGGATTAAACATTAACCATCGATATCAATCCATGACAAAAAGGAAAATAAGAACTGGCATTTAAAGACTAACAAACCTTATCAACTATTATGTATTGATCCTATTGAAGATCCCCAGACAAACAACTAGGATTTCTTTCAAGCAATTACCACTTCAATGTCAAATCTAAAAATAGCTTTCCTGAGAAACAAAGGGCAAGCAAAAATCATTACATGTACTCCAAATCGTGCCCCTCCCATAGTGTGGCAGCAACTAACAAACCACAACCAATTCAAAATACTGACTGGAAAATCCTGTTTCAAATTTCAATTGTCCCAGCGTTTTTGCTGAGCACCCAAAGACCACCTCCCAACACCACACAAACTGAAAGAACAAATGAAATGATTACTGCACTGGGTGATATCGTTTGGGAAAGAACACACAACCCCAGCATATCTAGCATATGGATAGTATAATCCAATAAAAATGAAAAAATGGACTCCCCATGAATCTATTCCTTCAACACAACTGGACTATTTAGAACATATTTGGTGTTAACTGTTATATGCTAGTTCACTGCAAAGGAACAAATGGTATTTTCAAATCAATCCGACATGAAGTGCATAACATTTATCAGCCATAGGTACTGAGCTGGAAAAATTGAAAAAAAAAAAAAACAATTTGTCACTAATTTTAATCATCAAAAGATCAATCAATAAAGGAGCTGTACCTTTTCAATCATTTCATCCACAAGTGTTTTTCATCCAGAAATGAAAACATTTGGGGAGTTCAACCAACTTCTTTCCATGACACCTTTGTTGTCAAGCCCACTTTTTCACAAGTGCACACTGTGGGTCAATGTAAATGGATGCACAAAGCTACCACAGTACAAGTACCACTGACTGCTTCCATAGGTACCACCTGACCTTGATCCCAGAGTCAACAAACTTTTACATAACTGTACACTTGATTGACAAACACAGACACTTCAGAGTTTTAGTTTAACAAACTTTATGAGCAGGATATTAGACCAAGGAGGTCATACTCATATTTGGCTTGGGTTCTGTGGTCATTTTATGATTCACAATGTTATAAAACTGCAAGGTGAATGTGAACATGTAATTTTTTCCTTGAATGAGTGCCAAGTCATATATAAACCTTATTTAACTGTATCTAGGCACTATGGAGGACGAAAAGTGGTTATCTGCTTATCTGCTATCAGAATGGTAAAAAAGCAGATTTTATGTTCCGGCAACATGCAATTTCGACTTTTCTACTTTTCTGCCACCTCAAAAAGCAGAACGAACATTGTTTGGTTATGCATTTTTCTATTTTTCTGCTTTTCTGATTCAAGAAAAGCAGATGTTACTTTTTCTTTGTTGGCTGGCAGCCGAAAAGCGGCCATCTGATTTTCTCCTTTCGAACAGGCAGAAATGAGGATCGAACGTTTTGACAGCAACTGTGAATTCTACTTTTTTGATACCGGAGGAACAATTTTACATAGACGGCCGAAAAGTGGCCATCTGCTTTTCTGCCTTCCAAGGGCCGTGAAGGGGGTTGTGAACCTCGGGTTATAACCATGTCCTGTCTTGGGGATAAAAGACGTATAAACCAATAATTACACTCTACCCTATCTTTTATAATGAAAGATTCACATGTTTTCCTTGGCTCAAGCAAGCTTGTGTGTCTATTAATTGGATGATAGTTGTAAAACTGTATTTCCTTTGAGATACTGTTTTCTCTGCCTCATAGGTCCCCAGAAAGCATGCTTTAAGTATTGGTTTCTATACCTTGTCACTCCCCCAGAATGCAAATGGTCGTAACTACAGGTTCATGACTATGGAGGACGAAAAGTGGCCATCTGCTTTTCTGCTAGCAGAATAGCAGAAAAGCAGAGCCAAGATCAAAAGAGGAAACGATGTTCTTACTTCAGTGAACAATGTGGGAATGATCAACAAAACACTGACTGGGCTGACTGTAAACTTAGAACTTTGGAATGCTTTAGTTACACTGCAAGATAATATCTCGTTCTATGGTCACATGTACATGTATACTGGTACATATTGCAAGAGTAATGAAGGGGGTATTATCAGTCATTCAAGTGGATGCATGTACCATGTGTGTTCTTTGGTCACATAGGGGTGCATACATGTACAATAGCTATCCCTAACCCTACATAATACTACAAATTACTACTTGTACACTGTAGTAAAACGTAGTAATCAGCGCTGCCGCTTGTAAGAGGACATGACTGACCGTACTGTTCTCTGAAGCCATAAAATACAATAGATAGACGATGTATTATACAGTGCTGTAGCACTATGAATGCACTGCTTTATCGTTCTCTGTACAAGTAACAATGGAAGTAACCTAGCCAGAAGTAGTAATTTGTAGCACTGGGTCCTTCAGGCTCAGGCTATTACTTAGTATTTTGTAGTAGAGTACTGCAAGCCAAACAATATGCTTGGCGGTTAGGGATAGCTATACACCAGTCGTAAACAGGGGAGGTACTTTGTACATGCAGGTATCACTGTTATCTTGATATAAATTGGATGCCATGTGGACACCTCATGTCTATAACCCAGTGAAAAATAAAGCTGAATCTGAACAAAGCAAAGCCATGTTTTTACAAGTCCAGCGGAACCATACAGATAAGGTGTTATTACAAAGCAAAGCTATACTCGCTACATTCTTTTTTATTCATTATACATGCACATGTGACACATCTCTTGCTGATGCTTTATCCTACTTGGCTGAAATGCGGTCACATCTGGTTCACTAATATGGTGAAACATGTGACTAATTCTCAGTTAGGCACTTGCACTCGAAAGTTTTGACGTGAAAATTTGACTGGTTTAAATTTTACTTCTTTTCACATTCGAAACATTCTCCTGTGACACAGGCTGGTGTACATCAAAAGAGGTAAAACTTAAGAGAAATTGGAATGTCACTTTTGTGTTGAATTGGACAAAAAAGTCAGTATAGGTTAGCATCAGGACAGGCAAATGTTAACCACCATCCTAAATGTGAGCATCTATTGTTGTTCATCAGTATGCACTCTAATGCAAGGCCAATTTTTTTCACCGAGACTAGTCTGGAAAAATTTTCTCAATAACAACTTGGTACATGTATTTCCGTCCTAAACTTTTCTTGACATTTTTGCTTTCTGATGGCTAATAGGTCACTGGAGGCAATAATTACTGGCCTCCATACGGTATGTGGAACTCTTTCCAAATAAACTAGTGCAAGGGAAACTTAGGGATATCTATCAATGCATGGAAGTTGATGAAACTGATCGCAGTGGTCCAAGAAAAGTTAACTTACCATGCTTACATCTAGTCTATCAATCATAGGCTATATCTGGCTGGCAAAAAATTCTGTACTCATGCGCCACTTTTCCAACACTTATTGTGCATGTCATAGTAGGGAGTCCAGCAAAACGGCACTCTAAATTTAAATCTGAAAGTGTGTACAAGTGTTTGTTTTCAATCAACAATTTCTGCTCTTTTTGTGCATCAAATTCTATATTCTAAAAAGCAGTTGTGTTGCAAAAGAACAGAAATTTGTGTTAGTATCATTTATTATGTCTGTTTCATCGAGTTTTGGGTGTAAAGTATGATGAAAATAATATAAGATCGGAGCCATTTTCACTACGTCAACAACTGTGTGCTGAAATAGTCTCATCTAAGCCTAATATCTTGCAAGACTCAACCCAGTTTGGATAGATGTCATCATCTTGTAGAGCTTAAAATACTCTTCCATATGATGTACAGTATAACTCAAGACATTTCACTAAGTTACCGTCAAACCTTATTTTGGTTTGTGAAGACTACAAAAAGGTAACAAAAAAAGTGCATTTTCTGTTGAAAATCCCCCAAAACATGTATCAGACGTTGATGAAATATACAAGATGTATATGAAACAGTGTTTATTTGGAAGCTTGGAAATTCAGGAAGAAAAGGAACTTTTTTGTGTCAAAAATTGATGTCAAACTGGTGCCAAACAGCCCTTGTGTATTGGGGTGCTGTCGTGCAACGCTGCACATGGTGTATGCTTGTGCATCAGATTGATGTATGGTACACGGGGAGCAAGATGCAAATAACAAGCACATAAACCACAAGTTGTTTCAATCAAATGTCATCAAAAACCCTGTCAAACACGAACAGACTTAAAGTAACTTATGACACCTGACAGACTTGATCCCCTATTTTTAAAGTTATTAATGGATGGCAAAATATCACATCAAAACCATGCTTCAGTGATCTTTCACAAATCACTAAAAATTTTCAAGCCTACCCAACTGTCCTTTGAGTGTTACTGTATAACATGTACATGTTTCCTATGTGTATTATTGATATTAAATGATAAAGTTTTCCTTAATAAAGATATTGTTTACTTCACACTTCCTCTGTGACTTACACATGTAACTACAGATCTTGTCCAATTCTGGCATGTCTGGAAGTGGATCCGAAGAAGATCAAGACTCCATGTGGTTCAAATACATTGAAGAAAATAAAACTTGTGTCCACCCCAAAAAAGTGGTGGACCAATTACATCTAATTTTAATAACAAAAAAATCATAACTTCACTTTACTAACAGCTATTGAACTAAATTTTATACCATTCAATTTCTTTTGAAATTTTCTTTCCAATGGTACTAAATTTGTGGGGGTCAAACAAAAAACCTGAAAAGTGCCGGACTCCCTACTCATCATAGTAACGATCATGGCGGCCTCTACTTCCTCCATAAGCCTTATCGCAAATACTGCATGGGTGATTTTGCACAATGGTCATGATGGTAGAAAGGCATTGTGAGAAGGGAAAAGGGGCGATGTTTGCTCCTTTTCCTTCCCACAATGCCTTTCAATGTCGCACAGCGACGGACTAAGCACGCAGTCCGTAACGTATACGAGTATAGGCCTACTCCCGGTTCTTTTCAGAACCAAACATACACTCATAGGGAGATGTATTCCTTCACATGGTGCTACCGCAAGCCTTTCCACCTGTTGCTGTCCTTCACCATGAATAGCCTGAAATCCCACCTGATTTTGTCACGCGTCACTGAAATGATGACTGTAGTCCGCACATGATGTACCTCTCAGCTCAGCAATGCTCAAACTCAGTGCAGATCTAACCACTAACTGAATGATGAACCTTTACACAAAATCAAAACCTGCCTGAAGCTTAACAGGTCAAGATTGAACTCAGATCTGTCCGCTTGTGACCACAAATTTCAAGGCAGTCTTTAGTAAAATCCGGCACCGAACATGTTGAAAGAACGAAAAAAAATATGAACTTCGCTGCATGAAAACGCTGGCAGCGAATTTTAATGCACAATGCATGCGTGTTGTCTTGTATCCAGACTGAATTTCACAGGAAAATCACACAATGTACAGTTGGGGGACTGTTCTGTAGTCTAGCATAATTTGAACTGTTGGCGGCGCTGTGAATATTTCTCGTGACGATTCCATCAAAATTAAATCCTTCCATTCAATTTTTAGTGGTTTTACCAATACTTTGGCGGATATGAGATGATCCCTCTAAAACAGTTATGAAGCATTTTGCCACTTTGATAATTGGACTACACTCCTTAGCAAAATGAGAGCCCATTGTCTACGTATTTCAGAAACACATGCTGGCAGCATCATGGATGGAGCTATCAAAGAGGAGCATTCATCTTTGTTACACAAACCCTCCGACCTATGTGCCATAAAATGTTCTAATAGGCTTGGCAGAGAATTTGAGGGCATACAAATTGTATTGTGGTCTATGTAGGTACTGTTGGGTGTGTTTATAGGTCTAGCTGCAACCTTTAAAGACTTGTTTAATTTTGAAATCTGCTATTAAATGTTGAAAAAGTGAATGTGAACGGTTGGTGGTACTTCCTGAAAAAAGTTGTTACAGCTGATTGATTAATGCAAGTTCACGTACTTGGAATCAACTTAAGTCACTTTCGTTTTCACATTGTTTCTGCGATGTTTTGCCTTCATAAACATCGGGGTGAGGGGGGTTGCCAAATGGGCCCAGACTAATAGTCACAAACATTTAAAAAGCTTTCCTGATAAAACTTCAACAGTGTAAAATTGTTGCTCGACAATTTAATTCATTCAAAGGAACAGCGCAAAATGCTAATATTTACAACGGTTCTTCTGCCTTTAGTTCCAAACTCTAAAGAGAATACCTATAACTAGCTTCCACATGTATTCAAGCACAGTACAAAATTTTACAAGAATTCAATGTGTGTGGTCACATGTCAACATGTGAGTATATCCCTCATCATGCTAAATCCAACAATATTCTTTGTGATTTATACCAAACCTCGAGGGTTAAGTTTACTCTGGCATAAGAATGGGTAAATAACGTTCTCAGTTCAGAAAACGTCCATCTTGTTTTGAATTTCAAGTCGACAGGAAACTGTAATCTTTTCTTGCCATTTAGAAATTCACCACGTTTTTAACTTGGTCTTCATCAGTTTTCAATCTCCCTCATTCTACTTCTTGGACATCATCGTCCTCAACTTCTCCAACAGTTTCTTCATCATCCTCGATTTCTTCCACTTCATCTCCATCCTCTTCATCAATGTCTTCTCCATCCTCTTCATCAATGTCTTCTCCATCCTCTTCATCAATGTCTTCTCCATCCTCTTCATCAATGTCCTCATCAATATCTTCATCTTCACCCTCATCTTCTTCTTCATCTTCCTCATCTTCTCTATCCTCCATCTCACTGGAGATGTTCTGCTCTGTGTCTTCCCCTTCTGCTTTCTCTGCATCTGACCTGTTCTGCTTCCTTTTCTCAGATGCCTCTTTCTTGCCCTTCTGTTCTTGACGGAACTCTGTGGGAATAAGTATGCACAAAAGATATTTGGGATTTACAGTGACATAAATGTATCATTATTGACTAAGACACACCATGAAGCAATGTGAAACGTGAAAGTCAATTTTAAAGCATGTAAAGGATCTTAAAGTTCCACTTTCCCCCACTTATCTCACACAAGTATACAAAACAGCACCCTCAAGTGTTGTTGCTAAAATCCTCTAAGAATATTGGCTCACTATTGCTCACCTTGAAGGCTGTTCTCCAGTGGTTCAATAAACTCTTCAAACTCCATGTCCTTCATGGCAGCGAAGACATCTGCGGCATTCAGTGTTTTCCTCTTTCCTTTCAGTGCATAGTTGTTAGCACTTTGTGAGGGGTAAGAAATTAAAGAAAGCAATGGCATACGATAACAAATCATACACGGTCGATAGAGGAAGGTCTGGGTATCAAGTGTGAGAGGGTAAAGTTCATACAATGCACCAGTGACCAAGACAAATGCTGCTTGTCAAAGAGAGAGTTCTTGATGTGTAATGTGACATGAGGGTAGTCAGGAAAAGGTCAAGGGTCTTGACTCTCAATGAACAAAGGATACCATGAAGTAGCATAGAGTACAAACACACTAGCTGCCTTGGAAACGGCATTACGAGCCTCCTTGGAAATACTGATGCCTTCAGGAACCTGAAAATAGAAATAAACTTCAGTTGTGTCAACAGTCGGGAATAAATGCAAAATTTTAATGTCAAAGTAATGCCTCATTTATTTCACGGTTCAAATCATTTAACTAACAGTTGATCACTTGATCAGATGAGTACAGAAATTATGAATTATGAAAGCTACTTACTGCATGCAGTGATTGAAAACCTAGTCCTTTATTGAACAAAAGTTATGCTTCTAGCTTGTTAAATCCAGTACTTGGAGAAACATTTCGGCAACACTCAGTGAGGTGCTACTGATAGGTTGATACCTACCGCTTCTTTCATAATTCTTGTGATTACAGAATGTGGGAGGTTTAGATCCTCTGGTCTCTCTGCCATCGTCACTGGTGGATACGTTTATATTCAGAAGGAAAACCAAGCAATACTCCCTAAAAATTTAACGCAATTGAAAAATGATTTCATTAGGAAGTTCAAAATCGGACGAGTTCCACGTATATACGGACATCACTGTTTTTAACCTTCAGCATGTTCATGGTATTTCAGCCATCAGAAAGTGATAACATCCTCAAAAGTCATATACTGGGAGAATTCTTTAAATTTTTTAGATCAGTCTCACAGGGTATGTGCACAGGGTGTCAAGTGATCCATGTATGGAACTCTTTCCTTAGAAACTGGTGCCTATCCAATAAAACAACAAAATTTGCTTTTCCGATAAATTAATTAGGCCCTACGACCTACATTACTGCATGTCAATAAGCAAGCTATTTCCTGCATTTTGCTGGGGTTGTGTCTGAACATAAGAAGACAGCTTTCTACAGAAATAAAAAGCACATGACACTTACTTCCCTTGGCTTACTATGGACATGATGGAGGTATGGTACCTAGGCCTATCAATCATATCCATGCTTTTTCACAAATGCAAAATGCCAAAAACTCACCGAAATGGACGACGGCCAAAGAAATCAAAGGACAGCTTCTTAAACTCGTTTTCCAGATATGCCACCTACTCAACACTACTGTATTGAACTTAAAGTTTTAACGACGTTAAAGCCCAATAATTTTTTTCTGCGTAAGTGTATGTCGTGTGTGACGCTAGGTTTCGAGGAACTACAATGTACATGTACATGATGTTAGAAACAGGGTTTTGTGCGACCGCGCCGCGGGAATAGTTCAGGTCAACGTGTTGAGAGAGGTCAATAACAACGACTGTTTGAAGTTAAGCGTCTTATACACATACAATAGCCGTTACTTTGTCACACTTCTATCATATCTAGGGAAATTGAAACGACTGCTGTCACTTGCTGGTGCACAAAAGGACAGCAAAAAGAACCGGAAAAGAGAAAGAAAAACAATAAAATAAAACAAACATTACAAACATACGAGATAAATGCAAAAATTTAAAAACACACACACAAAATAAAAAAACAGAAAGGAATCCTTACGAATTGCCCGGAAAGCGCATCACCAATGAGGACCCATTTGCGATGTTTTTATTGGCAACTGTCGACAGTGTGAATATTATTATGTTCCTTAAGGAGTATTTGTTCCCATTAAATCTATTTAGTGCAGAGTCACTTAAAATGGCAATAATATACAATAATAATAAATGAAAAGAATTTCTGGAATATAGACTAATAATTATGATGAAACCAAAGAGAGAAGCATATAGCTCTATGAAGCACGGTAACTTCGGTGTCCGCATCACGCGCGCATTCTTATAAAGTTTGGCGTGCGGGTACGTTTGGCAAATCACAGCACCCTTGCAGCACGGCATCGTGGTCGGAGTGGCATGTAACAATGCGCGCTGAACACCGTGTGCCACCGCGACAGTGACATGGCTTATACTAGGGCCGGAATTGCATTTCACTGTTTTCAGTATTTCTTCTCATACTGAAGGAACTATTACCGATTACCAAACTGTAAAGAATCTATTATGGTTGCCGAATTACACTATGGAGAAATATGCGTCTAGTCTATTTAATAGACGCTTGGAGCATACGGCCATTGATCTCCATTATAATGATGGAGATCAATGCATACGGCGGGCTAGACGACGGTAGACAGACTAATAATTATTTTGAAAAGAATATAATATCAAATCAGTGCTCTGAAATATGTGATTGCCGAGCTTTCGGTAACTGAGTATCTTCTTCAGGTCAAGCAGATTTAACGCCGAAAAATTCACGTTCATTCTCCCTGGATGCAGCGTTCCAAGTTCGAAAATGACGCGCTGCTCCATTTCCTTACGCTGTAGGTCAGATGACGTTTTCCGCAAAAAGTCTGTTGTTTCTGAAGGGGATTACCCTTAAAAACAATGGACGCGTCCAAGAGTTGACACAAACATTCCACCCCCCGTCCAATCAAAACAGCACAGACAAAGTTTTTGACCAATTAAATCGTCTGTTTAGACTTGGAAGGGTTGCGCGCGTTTACGCACAATATATAAAGTCGCGTTCAGAATTGTTCAAATTATTCCGTTGCTGTGAGCCTTCAATTAATTCACATCGTAACGACGCTTTTCGTGTTTGATTCTTCCTTCGAAGTATTCTCAAACCCTACCTGACTCTTCAAAATGGTAAGGAAATGTCACATAATTCACAAGGCAACTGTGGGTGAGTAGAATGTAGGCCTAATATTTGAAATGGGCGTCGAAAACTCTGCCTTTTGGGCTGTGCCTATGGTCAGTGTGGAGCTTGTGTCCGTCTGCCATGTGGCATGTCTGCTAACCATGCTAACGTTAAGTTGTGGTGCTTATGAAACTGGGCCTGGCCTACTTCATCGTAGTTAAGTCTACAATCTCCAAGATAGGGATTCAGACAATAATCACTTTTAAATTACAGTCTGACAGTGGGACTAGAACCTTGTTATTTTTTTAGGGCCTAGGCAGGGACTATGCCTTGGCCCCTTGCACAGCCTAAAACAATGTCATTCGTTATTGTCTGACAGCGTGAGTGCATCTCAATCCATGTTGGCCAAGCTGGTGTACAGATCGGCAATGCCTGCTGGGAATTGTACTGCCTGGAGCACGGTATCCAACCAGATGGTCAGATGCCCAGTGACAAGACCATCGGAGGTGGTGATGATTCCTTTAACACCTTCTTCAGTGAGACCGGTGCTGGCAAACATGTTCCCCGAGCTGTATTTGTCGACTTGGAACCAACTGTAGTTGGTAAGTCAATATTCACAAAACTGAAACTTTGTAAAAGCATGCAAACAAGTATTTTTCATTGTCTTGGAAAATAGTTACGCTACTAGGATGTGCCGAGGCCAAATGTGTGGACCTGGCCCTGGACCCTACTTTGAAGCAAAGTTGTTCTGACTGAAAATTTTATTCTCTGATTAGGCCTTGGCCCACTGAATAAAAGTAGACTGCAGGCCTCTGAAAAAAACGTTTTTAAAAGGATTTATTTCATTGTCTGAATTGATTGTCTTGCTTAGATGAGGTACGCACAGGCACCTATCGACAGCTGTTTCATCCAGAGCAGTTAATCACAGGCAAGGAGGATGCTGCCAACAACTATGCTAGGGGTCACTACACCATTGGCAAAGAAATTGTTGACTTGGTGTTAGACAGAATCCGTAAACTGGTATGAACATCGAGTGCATTTTCATTGTTTGCCTTGTACAAATAAGGTCACAAAATTACAATGTAGATGACTTGAGCATAAACTTGAAACTTCATGGCTTTGTTCAGTTCGTGTACTCACACTTCAAGGGTGACCTTACTTTGTCTAGTAATTCCCCATAAATATCACATTTCCAAACAAGTGAAACCTTGTATCAACAAATTGTCCGAGATTTCACCATAGTATACTTGCTCAGTCATGGACAAAGTATCTCATTGCAGGTATAGTTGAATACTTGGTGAACTTGTTTGTATACACTTTTATTTGTTTGTTGACAACCGTGTAAATTGTCTGTATCAAATGAACAAACAAATGTAGAGTCATTTGATGAAAGCCCCAGAAATGGTGCCAGCAGAAAAGAGCTTTTAAAGGGACTGTGTAACTCGAAGATTAGTAAGTTTCACAGCTTTGGTCCATTTCCTTTGTGTTTCTTGTAACAGGCTGATCAGTGTACTGGTTTGCAAGGATTTCTCATCTTCCACAGCTTTGGTGGGGGCACTGGTTCTGGCTTTGCTTCTCTCTTGATGGAGCGATTGTCTGTGGATTATGGCAAGAAATCCAAGCTAGAGTTTGCCATCTACCCGGCCCCTCAGGTCTCCACTGCTGTGGTTGAGCCATACAACTCCATTCTCACCACCCATACCACACTGGAGCACTCTGATTGTGCTTTTATGGTCGACAATGAGGCCATCTACGACATCTGTCGTCGCAACCTGGACATTGAGCGCCCAACCTACACCAACCTCAATCGTCTTATTGGTCAGATTGTATCCTCAATCACTGCATCTCTTCGCTTTGATGGTGCCTTGAATGTGGATCTGACAGAGTTCCAGACCAACTTGGTCCCCTACCCAAGAATCCACTTCCCACTGGTCACCTACGCACCTGTCATCTCTGCTGAGAAAGCCTACCATGAGCAGCTGAGCGTTGCTGAAATCACTAATGCTTGCTTTGAGCCAGCTAACCAGATGGTAAAGTGTGACCCCCGTCATGGCAAGTACATGGCCTGTTGCATGCTGTATCGTGGTGATGTCGTCCCTAAGGATGTTAACGCAGCTATTGCCACCATCAAGACCAAGCGCACCATCCAGTTCGTCGACTGGTGTCCAACTGGCTTCAAGGTGGGCATCAACTACCAGCCACCCACCGTCGTGCCTGGCGGTGATCTGGCCAAGGTGCAGCGTGCCGTCTGCATGCTGAGCAACACCACAGCCATCGCCGAGGCCTGGGCTCGTCTGGATCACAAGTTCGATCTGATGTACGCCAAGCGTGCCTTCGTCCACTGGTACGTGGGAGAGGGTATGGAGGAGGGCGAGTTCTCTGAGGCTCGTGAGGATCTGGCTGCCTTGGAGAAAGATTACGAGGAGGTCGGTGTCGACTCGGTTGAAGGCGAGGCAGAAGAGGAGGGTGAAGAATACTAAACAACTCAGGAAGGCTCATTCACAATTACTTCATGACATTTCAGTAGTTAATTTGCATCTTAATTAAAATTGAAAAAGAATCAATTCTAATTCTTTAGCTTCACAAGATGAAATTAACCTTTGGCTACCAAGTTACAAATTTTGCAAATGCTATTTGAAAGTTGACTCTGAATCCTTGAATTTTGAAAAAAAAAAGTCAGAAAACAGTTTCATGGCGGATTGTTTTGTATTTTACATCACACTGTTTGAAGAAATAACACATGCTGAATAGCTTTCATCAAGAGTGACTTTCTTGAAGTTTCCTCAGTGTGTATTTGTAATTTCCAATGTTGAGGTTTGAAAGAGGTTCAATAAAAGTTAGTCGATAGTTTCAAACAGTTTTAAGGGTTTTATTTTTGGACTATGTTGTCTGTAGTAGTTTGCTCTTTTTAAATCCATTACCGGGAGAACAGTTCACATGTATACATTTTTGTTGGGGGGTTCAATGATCCAGTTCGATATGCCAACTACTGAATTGGATGAAATCTTGATGGATGGGTTGAGCATCTTTTCACTGAATACATACATTTTGTCAATGAACTGCCGGGTGAGGGCACTATTCAATAAGTGTAATGGTCACGCGGTGCTGCAGTTCGATTCGGGCGACATGGTGCTATCAAAATGAACTTGTCACGCCACACGTTTTGCCAGCGTCAGAAACTACATGACTAAAGGTATGATGCAGATTGCTTCATGATATTTCTCATTAGTTTTAATTTATTCAAAATATACATCTCATAACTTAGCTACCCAAAACTCAAGTTTAACCTTACTTAGCAAGAAATGTTTGTTGTATGTTGTTAAAGGTACGTTGGTCGTAACAGAATTTTCTTATATCAAAACAAAACTTTTTTGAAAGTTTTGACTCGGCAAGGACATAATTTATTAACCTTGCTGCTCCACGAAGCTGTCAGGCTCTATACATGTTTTTGTGCACAGGCTGAGGGAACTTATCAACTCCGAATCCATGAATGATGCGCGGAAGATCTGTGGTAAGAATTAGACTTCATGCATTAATGCTGTGCGCCGCGCGTACATCATGCATGAGGCGGCTCCTAATTAATTTCGCCAGCACCGTTGATTGTGAATAGCGCCCTCTTTAGAAAATTGCCAGCAAGAAAATCAAAATGGCAGCGCCTACAATTAGACGGAAAGTGTTGACGAGCGCGAGCACGGATGACTCGTCTCACATTTGTGTGAACACAGATGATTCGAAATAAAGTTTTAATGGATTTTGTTTTTTAGAAATAAGTGTGCCATCGTATGCCTCGCGTACAGTGCCGTTCAAGTTCCTGGTTTATCCGTTTTTGCGCACCTCTTGATCTCGTCAGCTCATCATGTCCAACATTAACGTTAAGAATATTCCTGTCGGTGCAACGGAGAAACCGAAAAGCTCAGAAACTGAAAGGTATTTTACTTTATTAGCAATCCTCTGTAATCTGAACTAACATTTCTAGCCTATGATACTTCCTGGAACTCTGCCTGTCTGAACAGCTACTATAGATCATGCCAATGACATGATGTACATGCATGTGTACAAATCGTGAGTAGGGCCTAGGCCTAACAGTTATTTGCAGTGAGTGATTGGAAAATGTAAAACAGCTGTCTTTTGGCCTAATGTGTTTCATAACTTTCCCGTTGGTAGGTATTCAACATGTTCAGTGTAGGCCTACATGTTATGTTTCTATGGGTTTTTGCTTTATTTTGTTTGTTTTGTTTTTTTGTTACTGATAAGTGTGCATGTATGTTGGAAATGTGTAGCATCAATGCTATCTTACCTCAGATTGTAATAATCATTGTGTTATGTCATGCCCATCAACCAAAATAACTTCTTGACCATTCAAGTGTTATTCCTCAATGACATTTTACCTCTTCATATATTTTTGAATGAATTGTCTGAAATGTTCTACCCCCAGAGCTATATTGGAGGAGCGAGTTCGGATGCGGCTAGCATCAGAAAAGAAGGCACATGAGATTGTTGAGAGACTTCTTGATAATCCAGTTACAGAAGACTTCTTATTATGTTGTGTAAGTATTTGCCCCAAGGCCAAGCCAAAGAAGAAAAGATTAAAAAAAATGTTTATGGAGTCCAGCAGGCATGATCATGTAAAAAGGTAATGATGTTTATAAGGGGGGGAGAAGGCAGCAGATAGTGGGTATGAAAGATGTTCAATTTTGGATGGATTTTCATGATACCTTTGTGGCTGAAAGACTTTCATCGTATCCAGCAGGTTCAAAACGTTTATTGGTTAATATTTCATTTGTTAGAGCCACGCAGTGTTTAAGATGAGCCACATTTTGAATGTTTTTGTATCACCTGGATTTTTTTGACAGGCTTTTTCTATATACCCACAACACTACAAGGATGTGGTCACTGAGAGATCCATTATCAAGCAGTGTGGCTATCCACTGTGTCAAAGGTCACTGGACAATGTTCCGAAACAGAAGTACCACATCAGCTGTAAGACCAATAAAGTCTACGACATCACAGATAGAAAGGTAAAACAGGAAATCTGTATCACTCAAATTGTCTGGAGTTCAGGGTGGTTACAAAAAAGTCAACACTTTGAATGTTTGAATTTGAAAGATGGAAAGAACATCACCAGTTCAATGTTCTAATGCATATTTTGCCCATAGGGACAAGCCCAAGACTGAATCTTGAAAGGTCAGTCTGTAGAACCCAACAAAGTACAGTATATGACTTTGGTCTTTTATACATTTATGAGCACTTATCATGCCATTGTTTAAAAATATCCTGTAAAAAATATGGTTTTTCTGACTTTATCCACAGTGTTTCTGTAGTCAGTTCTGCTACAAGGCCTCCAAATACTTTGAAGCTCAACTATCCGATTCACCCCTGTGGACAAGAGAAATGGAAGAGTTTGTACTCAAAGACAGGTCTTTGGAATTAATCTGAAACCAGATCAATATTTTCTCTTCAACCGTGACCCAGTCCTTTGCCTTTTCTCTCATCTCAACCAAGGAATTCATCAAATAATTTCTTTCAGTGTCTTACTCTTTTTGGAACACTTTATATTTTCATAATTTAGACTTCAAAATGACTAAACTTTCACACTTCCATTTCCTTTTCACATTCTTAGTGGCATTACTGTCGGGTAGCAGAGTTGCTTTTGAGAATCATACCATCTTGCTTGATAACTTCTTAGGAAACTTAACAGTCAGGCGTAATTGTTGGAGGCGTAATTGTGGGAGGTGTAATTGTTGGAGGCCATGCGCAGATTACGTAGCATGATTCTCAATAGTGTCATTCCTCATCTTCTGTTGCTATCTATTATCCTAGACCATTAGACATCAAGCTTCTCACTCAAGACATGGAGGCTGATTCTACTGCATCTTACTTGATTGCAAAAGATAATGTGGTTCTCACAGAACGAATCCACTCTCAAGATGTTGGTGAAGTAGACAGCAGCGATAAAGATGAACCCTTAAAGAATGAAATTGTGGGTCTTCTTGAAGATGACCTCTCTAACTTGACTTTTGCTGATACACGGAAGAGAGAAAGGTTGCAGGAGTTGGCTGAGATTGGTAGAAATCCAACAACACCTCAAAGTGAACAGAGAAGATCTGTACAATGCAAAGATTCTGACAATTATCCAAAACAGGAATTTGGAAGCCTAGAAGTGCAAGACACTACATCACCTCCTGAAGATAACATTCATGGTTGCTGCTCTGGGGAAATATATGAGAAATCTGAAGCCATAGAAGAACAACAAATCAAGAATGCGCAATTTAACAGATACAAAAGTGCAGAGGACTCAGAGCAAGACTACTTAGCAAGCATTGATGGATCTAATTCTGACATAACAACTGGTTGTGTGGCTCTTGGCATTAATAAACCATCACCCAGTCCTGATCAAGGAGATGCTTCAGGAGATGTTCAAGCAGTAAAAAAGAAGAAAGCAAAGAGGAAAATGAAGGAATCTAGTCCCCAAGTTATGGATGAGACATCCTTGTTCCAGTCTGTCAGTAGAACAGTTATGGAATGGACCTCGAACGAAACACGAGAATTTCTAATGGGAGGTTCTTCACGTCAGTGTGCACCATCTCAACAAGCAGGCGTTAACCTTGAAATGCAAAACTTGACCTCTGACCCTGTTACCATGACCCGTGACCCTTCGGCAGACCCAACAGAGCCTTCTTTACCTCCAGCAAAACCTTTACCGGGCATGGATAAATTGAAGGAAGAAACCAAACAATATTCACTCAAGGTGCAGGAGTTTTATTGCAGCAGTTACCTGGACATCAAAGAGAAGAAAAAGAAGGCCCAAAACGAGGAGAAGCAGGTAACACATGTTCAGATACATTGTGATTTGTCCCGTGATATGTTAGGAAAAGATTAGGGAGTGGGCGTGTCTTCTTTTGTTGGGGGGGGTGGAATGTGTATCCTCATTGATTGCCGAGACGTTAACCTTTTCTAGCATGGGATCTGCTCATATACATGTAGCAATGCTTGATTCATCAGTCGTCATTCTTGCATTTATGATTCTTGTCATTAGGAGGAAGGTGTTGATCGAACTCTACGATTTCCTCTGGTTGATTCCAAATCTCAGATGGCAATTAGAAGGAAGATACTTTCCGACCGACTCAACAGAGTGTAAGGAGCTTTCCTGTCATTTTAATCACTGAAATTTTTGGTGACCTGTTCTTAAAACACCCCCCCCCCCAGTTTTCTTCAATTTTGAAGTCACTTTTAAAAGCTTCCTGGTGCGAGTGGTGGGATTTTTTACTTCTTTTGCCTGCTGAACTTTTAAAGTCATTAATTAACATTTGTGTTTCACTTGATAAATATAAACAAAGTTTCTTTTTTCTCTGTATTTTAATTATAAGAAGCACTCATTAAAGAAAATCAAAATTATTCATTTGAACATGTTCAGCTTTTCGTTAATATTGTTAAGAATCGCATTTTGTGGGATCCATATTTCAGCTTTTCTGAAATGCTTACACCATTGGGGCTGTCTATGCGTGACATGTCATCTGATCTTCAAGCGTTGATTCGCACCTTTCACTTGAGTAGTACTAACATCACATTTAAACCTGCTGGCTGGACCATGCTAAGTGTGTTGCTTCTACAAATGTGAGTACTGAAGTTGTATACATGTATCAGTTTTCAAAGGTTCAAGAACATGTGAGTTCATTCAAGCACAAAATGGGAATGAGTTCATTGGTGAATAAACCAAAAGTCTTTCCCAGTTAGACTTAAACATTTGGGAAAAACTCACCTGTGTGACATTTGTTTTCATCACAAGTGGTAAAAATAGCGTACCCATTTCCATCATTTTCTTGTACAGTCCTTGAGAGACAAACTGACAATTTCTTATCTGTGATTTACTCAAAATTACACAACTATTTGACAACTTTTAGAAACGTTTTCCTTCCTAATCAGATTCAATGTCAATTTCAAAGCAATCCTACAAATACAGCTGTTGAGGGATGAGAGAATGAGCGCATTTATTTGATTTGCATCTCAATGTCAACAACCACTTCAAAGGATTTAAATGCCATGCCATCCTCCTTGCTCTAATCCATGACAAGTTTTATGTGTGGTTGGACGAGTTTCAGCAGATTTGCATATCAAGTGACACGGCAGATTTACATGTAAAAGACAAATTCTCTGAGTGATCGCATGAAATACCTAAGCTAAAAAGATTTTTATGTGCACATAAACTTGCTGTGAAAATGTGAGACTTCTTGACAGCAAATATCAGATTTTGTCCTAGAAAGCATTGCAAGGTTGACAGAGATTTGTTCTACCTTTACGGTTTCGTCTTCTGTTTGTGTATAATTGAGTTGTGCTTGACCATATACATGTATGTCATTCCTCACATACACTGTGTCGGTTTAACCATGGAGTGACTTGTAGGATAGTTTTGGTGCACCATGAAGTGACGTATAGGATAGTTTTGGTTCACCATAAAATGACATGTAGGATAGTTTTGGCGCTCCATGAAGTGACATATAGGATAGTTTTGGTGCACCATGAAGTGACATATAGGATAGTTTTGGTGTACCATGAAGTGACATATTGGATAGTTTAGTTCACCATGAAGTGACTTGTAGGATAGTTTTGGCGTAACATGAAGTGACATATAAGATAGTTTGATGCACCATAAAGTGACATACCAGTATTGCCCATAGACTTTGTGCATACGATACGACAGTTGGTGCAGCAACTATCCATGATACGTCAGTTCGTGATGCAACTAAAGATATAATTGACAGGCTTGCATATGTATTCATTTGCTGGAACAGGTGAAGAAATCTCTGAAATTGTTATTAATGGCAAATCTTAGCAAATCATGTTGGACATCAGATTTTTTAACATCTCTTTTGATCAATGCTGGAATGTTGTAACCATGCCAAAATTGTCCGCAACTTGTAGAAGACATCTTGTGTCTCAGCTTGTTTTTCGATGTTGCTTAAGGTTCAAAGGTCAGCATGTTAACCTGTTGACATTACGGGCGATTCACAATAGTGCGCCTCCAAGAGTTTGCAACGTATTAGCCAATTGCAACGCGCGAAATCTGTCGACCAAATGCGCATTTGGTAAGGATCGACAGATTTCACACATTGTGATTGGCCAACACGTTGCAAACTCTTGGAGGCGCCCTATTGGGAAAACCCATATTGTTTTTCTTTTATTGAATAATTAGAGCATGCCGTAAACATTAATACTCAATGAATGAAAAAGTATTCCCAAGAGATAGTGTTAAGCTCCAAAATGGGTCAGCTTTGCCAGTCTACCATTAATAATCCTCTAAATCACATCACCCAACTTAACTCAAGTGACCTGAACAGAAGGAAGATAAAAAAAAAATGAAAAAAGTCAGAGAAAGAGGTACCTGTAAATCCACCAGGCAAAATCGTACATGCCATCTGCCAGCTTTGCCTCCATGTAAGCCTACAGGCCATGCCCACAAGTTAGTCCCTTTTGAGAATAACGGCAAAGATAAGATTATTGGTGCTGTGGTCTGGGAGGACATTTTATCAGGGCATCAAAGCAGAAAAAATGCTGTAGATTGGCTGTATATTCCTGAGAGGATGGAAAAGTTTGAAGAGCTTCCGGTTATTATCTTCCTTAGAAATGCTCATTCGAACTCATCTAATTTTGCTGTAAATGTGGATTTCTCAAAGCAACATTACATCTACTCTGCTGTACCATCATTCAAGCAATTAAAAAGCAAATTACCTTTGCATTAATGCAGCGAAAGAGTTTCATACATGTAAATTATGAAATAAGATTACGAATGCATTCACTTGAATCTTCTGAAATGATGTACACCATTACAAACTTAATTTGAATTTCCCCACATTTCCCTTTTCTCTATTTGTTTCAACTTTCAATGTCTCTGCTCTAATGAATTACCCTATAGGTAGAAAGCCTTTTTTTTTCAGCCTGATCTTAAATCCAGTATCTGGGACAACACATTGCCTGCTGTCTGGCAAATGTTAGATAAGGATAAACCATCTTCCTCCTAGTGCCTCTTCTCAAGGTGTTTCTTCCATTACTGCATCTTAAGACAAGAATCAGAGGAGATAAGACCAATCTTCCTGCCTCTTCCCCACCCTTGGCACTTTCTCAGGAGTTTATTTGCCACAGTTAATGGCAAGAGTCCAAATCCCTTGAGATTTAGATTCTTATCTGTAGATTTACTCACAATCAAGTGCCATTAACACCAGCCTGCCCTTTTTTTTTTTTTTTGGGAGTGCTGCAAAGGGTTTTCTTGCAAGATTGTTTTTAAAGTAACAGAAGAGAGAAGAATTATTTCTTATAGAAATCTTGAGAAACCACGTTGGAGGCCATAGGAAAGAGTTACACAATATGAAGAACAACCATTTAGATTGGGAAAGTATAAAGTGTGTGATAGATCCAACTGAACTTATTTCTGGTAACCCTACATGTGGTTCAGTATGTGTAATATTTATTTGAAAAATAAACGTTTGATGTTAGCACCTTGTTACAACTGCATGTTTACAACTGCATATTTACACAGTCCATACGATTGGTTCAGGGAACTGAATATTTTGCTTCCATATTGTCTTAATTGTAAATATCGCCCTCTGTTGGTTGTATGCATTGTTGGCTTTTGTACTGCCATCTGCTCATGGAACCAACAGCATGTGTATGCCTGGGGCAGTGTGAATGTTATGGCTATGACTGGCTGGCAGCTGTAGGCACTTCCCATACATGTAGGTTCATGTATTACTCTTAGCCTCAGCCACTTGATTTGGACATGTCCCTAATCTGTCTGCCTTATATGTGATAAATGTTCCATGCTGCCCTCTATCATCCAGCTCTCTGTGGTAAAGGTTGAATGCACTTTGCAGGCGCGGGTTGTGATTAGCCAGTCATGACCAACAGACCAGAATTCAATCCTTCCAAGCTTGTATTCACTCAGATTTCTTCATAATAAGTAGCTTATTGTGAATAAGTTGTGTTGTTTGACCCAGTAATATTTTAGTGGATAGCTCAGATGATTACCTGCTATACCTCTTGGATTCATTGGTTGATCGTTGATCGTTGTTTTTACAGCCCTATTTTACCTTGAAAATGGTCAGCCTCTGGAGGCTTTTAGTTACTATCTTTAAACTTTACATGATACTATTTGACACTCTTGGTGTTATGTACCTGTAGGCTCGGTCATCATGACGACCAAACACTTCCATGACAACTAAACACTTCCTTGTCTTATTCCAACTCACATAGACAGACGTTCATACATGTAGCTCATGACTCAATTATTGAACTTGATTTTATTTGTTGTCACAGATCAGTTCACAAGCAGCCTAATTCAGTGGTTTTTATCTTAAAAGCTTTGATGAATGTTTAATAAGCTTTTACAAGCCACCACCATGCATGATGCAGGAGTAAGGATCGTTACCATAATTCCTGAAAGTTCCAAGGCCCATCGGTTCTTCATGTAATTACTTCATGTCCCTTTATTTTCAGAGAGTGCCGCACTTTTGAAACCACTTCAGAAACTTGTCCTCAAAGTCCTTGTTTTATCTGTTTCTGTGATTTTTGTTTTAACTCCTGCAGCTCATATTCTCGTGATAGAACTGGGGAAATATCTTTAATCTCTGAAGTTTGCCACAAAAAAAACTTGAGTCTCCATTCTCGTGCAAAATTAAACACAGACAAATTAAACATCTGGAACAAAAGTTCAGTGTACTGTCTTGAAGTAATCTGGACTGTTCTATTCTAAAACTATATATTTTCAATGCTCTCACAAGCAAAGAAATTCCCAGAAATGGCAAGAAGGAAAGAAAGATTTTTGAAAAGGATTCTGTTGTATTCCAATCTCATCCATTTGACAGATTTCGAGACAGTTCTGTTCTAGGAGAATATATTTTTAGACTGTTTTGTAACTGTCATCTCTTTTCTCCTGTGATAATAACAAAACAGTGATGATATCCTTATTAGTCATTTGATTTGTGAATGTTCTTAGAATTCGCGGCAACTCTGCCTGCAAGAGAGAATCACTCTCTATTATTGACACTCGCTGTCGTCGTTTTCCTCATTATTAATACATTATGAGGGACTATAAAGCCACCATAACAGGGGGTTCACAATCTCGTTAATGAGTGGTGAATAGTACACCCTATCCCCCATCACCAGCCTCTGCCTGAGCATGTCTCATCTTGATATAAAATGTGCTAAATTTTGTATGTGGAGCTAATTCACTAATGGCTTTTTCAACAAAATTGAAGTCATGATCCGTGACTGGTGTTTTAGAAGTGACAGACTTTGTGCCAGGGTTACCCAGCCAGCAACAGATGGAATGCAGTTTTGTTTTTGAATATTCATATGCCTATCTGGGATAATACCATGGTCAGTTGCGCCAACTAGCCTACTGACCAGTTGTCTAGAATCTTGTTTTTATTTTCACAAACATAAATGAAAAGTTTCGAGTGATTACATCAGCAGTTGTAAAATGTACATGTTGATCCAGAAATTTTCCAACCACTTAAAAGTAACATGTACATTTCTAAACAATAAAGTTGAAAAAGTGCCTTCCGCTGCCAAATTTGGGTACATTTTTCCATCATTAAGTTGGCCGTAACTTGCTGTGACAA